TTAAAAAGGGAAATTGAAATCATGGTGCCAGTTGAAAAGGAAAAAAATTTGGGTTTTCGGTCTTTCCCCCCCCCCCCCCAATGATTTCAACCACTTTTACAAAAAAGAAACCATTTATGTCAACAAAGGCTTGTAGATTTGGACACAGTACCTGGTAAAAAAAAAAAATCACTTTTCACAGTGTCTTTGTGTTTCAGGGTAGGATCCTACCCTGAAACACAAAGACACTGTGAAAAGTGATTCTGGGTTATTTTAGGGTAGGCTAAAACAGGTTTACCCTAAAACACAAACCCTAACCCTTGTATTCAGCTCTCCTGAGTCAGTGCTCAGAAGAACCACCATCATCAGCGACCGCAGCTGGAAGTATTTTTTGCGAACGTCTCTGCCAGTTTTTCCAAACGTAAAGACTTCCATTCTCGAATGGGAATGGAAATAAATGTTAAGATCCAAGTCTTAAAACGAGTTATCAGTTGGATGTAGATCTGGACTTTGACTGGATCGTAAACCGTTCCGTTGTAGTTCCGGCTGTATCTTGAAGGCCATTGACAACGTAAGATGGTAAACATTTTGCCAAACAGGATTTCTTAAAGCATTTCCTTGTGTTTCCGGCTTCCTCGTTCTTGTTGAAATAAGAAATTATTTATTTCACAGTATGATGTTACCAATGTGCCGAATAAAATGTTAAAAACTCTGGATATCGTTTCGTAGTTCTGTTTTAAATTTCTCCACAACTTGATGCTTGACCGATCTGCTGCGTTTCTTGGTCTTCAAGATGAATTTTGTTCTTTAGCACACGTCTGAAACATTTACAAAAAAAAGCTTGTATGCATCCTGAGACCATATTACGCACAGAAGGACTCGTTTGTTTTTTTTTTTGTTTTTTTTTGTTTTTTAATTTGGTACCTTATGAAGTCAATTAGTTGCCCTGGGTCTTTTTTTAGGAGTATCAGGTTAGACGGGGCTGATGAATGCCAGATGTCTCAGAATTTTATGAGTAAAAACTTTTAGTTTTTATTTCTATCACTTTCATTTGACTCCACTTTGTGTAATCCAAATGAAACACGGAGAAAATACGAATAGTTTTCCAGGATGTTATTTGTCAGAGGTGATAATTAGGCAAAGGAGTTTTGTCACATATTTCATTTGCTGGACTTTGGTCAAACTGAGCGGCTGGGTTCGATTGCTTGGCAAGTTTGAGCTAGAATAATTTCTTAATTACAAAAACAGTGTGATTAATAAAAGGGTGCGATTCTCCCTTTTTTTTATATCAATCCGATACGAAATGAAAAGAGGGCTCGTATTGTCGATACCGATACTTATGATACTTTTTATTTTAATTTGATGTGTCAAACTTCTGATCTTATGTGTTTTTTTTTTTTTTTTTTTTGTAGTTTTCCCTTTAAATTATTTTGTTCAAACCTCACACATTTGGATGAAGTTTATAAGTATCTAAAACAAACTTTTAAAACATATTAATCATGCATGGGCAACGCAAACTAACAGTTTTATCGCAATATTTTGTGGTACTATTCTGAAAACGACATTTTTTTTTTTTTTTTTTTTAAAGCTGAGGGTTTTTAGGTAACTTTATGACAGACTGCATGGTTCAGCATTCATTGTGCCATAAACACAAATAATGTTCTTGAAAATCATTTCTATTTGAAACGGGCTGCTTTAGGACACCACTTACTTAAAAAAAAGTAAGTGCACACAGCAGCTGCACTTAATCATATTTTTCTTTCATTAATATTTACTTATCAATAAATTATCAGCTCTCGTGGAACTAACACTTCCAATCACTCTCTGGGTTCTGTTTTTTTATTTACCTTCAATAAATGGAATATATCGAGAGACCCATAAGTCAAGATTTATACCACGATAAAATAAATTTCACGATAAATGATACTATACATGCCCATCCCTAACATTGACCTGACAAACAGTAACCATAGGCAACAAATTAGTCTGCATTTTTTCTAAATAAAGTGCAACACAAAAAACATGCCATTCGAGAGCAAATCAAAATAAAATCTGATTTGAGGTAGAGCTGAGAAACTACAAAAGAAAATTTCAAGAGGGAATCTGAAACTAAAGTATCGATCTGATACTGAAACTGACTTTTTTTTAATCGATATTGTGGATTGAGCCGTCAGCCTCTAGTGACAATCAGCTTTGATTAAATCATTTTTGCATTAATTTTTAATTAGTCAGTTGAACACAAAAGTAGAAGTTGATTACTTCTACTTTTGTGTTCAACTAAACTTGGGGATTTCCTCAAGTTAGGAAATCCCCAAGTTTTGATAAGCTATATTAAACCCGCGTAAGCAAATCTTGTAAATCTCTGCTCTATGTTCCAACAGGGAGCGTGAACAACTCCAGAGGCACATGTGAACAGTTTAACCAGACAATCCAAAACGAAATTTGCACCATTTGCTCCGGTGACTGTGCAATCCAGTCCTGGCAAAGGCTCCTGAGTGTTATCTCACAGAGGAAAACGAGGGCGATTATCAGAAAGCGTTCCCATCCAGGATGAGCGACCAGAGTCCTGCTGAAAGCACTTAGAGCACCAGATAGGCCCCGGCATGATCCAGCCACTATTAGCCTTCTTGTTGACCTTGCACCTGCACCTGACAACACGTATCTGGGACTCTGTTCAAAGACTTCTTCCTTTATTCTTGGAACTGATCAATTCAAATCTGAGAACAAGTTGATGAGTATGATTTCCTTTAAAAAAAAAAAAAACACAAAGCCAGAAGCTAAAAAGCTAAAAGCTCAGGACAAAGGATGAAACATAGCTACTGTGCTAAGTCCTGCATATCTACCCTGCCATGAATCGCAACTAAATTCAATCCAAGACTTGACCGTCCAAAACGTTTTGCGGTCAGGTCAAGCGAGAACAGCTGCCGATGCAATTCCCAATTGTCTGTTTTGCTAATGCCAGACATTAACACCAATGAGTTAACAGTTCTGGAGCTTTAAAGAGACGTCTAATTAGAGGAGCGCTAATGGGTAGAGTATGTTTGCGGTCTTGTGCAAGGAAACAAAACACAATTTGTGGAGAGCCGAGCTCCGCTACGGCTTTGTTGCTCTTGGACGGGCCCCCGTTTTTGCATAAGTATATGTGGATCGCAGTGATTGGTTTATATTCGCAGTGTTTCGCTTCAAAAGGTCAGGGTGGTTTGCCCGAGGCTTTTGAGTTTTGCTTTATTTATTTTCCACATTTAAGGACCAACCAGAGCATGACAGAGTGGCAGAGCTGGTGCAGAGCCTGTTGGTCTGGGGATTCGATTCAACCTCAAGATTATTACTACCACCACAAAAAAGCGGTGGCACATTTTTGTGCTGCCACCTAAAACATGGGACACCAACTTTGGAGACATAATTCCATATCGTGCCAAATGTCCCAAATGTATTAGCGACACTAAAGCTGCCAAATCTTTTACGTGTCCAAATAATCTGCTGTTTTTTATGATTAAATCAGACAAGATACAGAATCAGCTGACAGGAAGGAGACACCAAGGACACCAGGATGAGTCGGCAAAAGCCGAGTACATTTCCTTCACACACTGGCTGACGAAGACCGCCCTGCCCAGTCAAAGTACCTGAACACACAGGCTTCCTGTTGTGCACAGAGGAGCCGCTCACTGGCTTGCCGTCGGCGGTGACGCACCAGCAGTAACCTGTCAAAGTGTGACACTGGACCTGACAAACGCATACAGATGCAAACATTTCTGTTATTACGGCTGCGTTTATTTGAGTACGCTAGTGGAAAAGAAAAAGGAATGTCGGGAGTAAAGCACACACCTGGGCGAACGTTCCATCCTCGTTGCATTCTGGGACGAACGTGGACTCCTGAGGTCTCCGCGCCTGTTCCAGCGCCTGGTTCCTCTCGACGTTGCACTTTGACTGACCTCCGTCTGTGGAAAACCAAAAAAAAATAAAAAAACAATAACGATAAGACCCCTGTTGCACCTGCAGGCTGCTCACTGCGCTTTAAACACTGAAAGACGGGGTGGGGGGTGAAATGTACAGTCAATTGAAGAATATTTCGAGGAATTGGAACAGACTTATTGATTCGGTTCTGACTCATCCGCAATGTGACGTAACAAGGCGAAGCACCGAGCGCTCTGTAGTTTTACTCTGAAGCAATATTTCTGAGATTGTGGGAAAAAAAGAACAGAGGAGGTTTCACATTCAAAGGTTGAAAATCCCATCAAGATGTGTGTGGGTTTTGTTTGTTTTTTTTCCTTTTTGTCTTTTACAGCGTTCACCTGTGGGGTTGAACTTCATGCTTGGCTGTTCTTGTAAATATAGTCCCAGCAGGGTGCAGAACAGAGTGGCCTGAACTCTCCACTTCAGCAGATGAGTGAAAGTTCATAAAAAGCAATTCCGGAGAAGACAGTCTGGAAAAGAAGGATGGAACTAAAACAGGACTTTGATGTCAAACGTAAAATGTAGAAAAATGGACTATGAATTTAGTTTTTATATTTATTTGGTGACATTACATTCAAAAGGTTTTTCCAGTCACCAAAAAGTAATAAATTATTGTCGAAAAAAAGTGGTTATTTTTTCTTATTTTGGTCTTATGTGAACATAGCCACTCTCTGACCTCTTATGCTTCCTTGAATTTGTTGGTATAGGTGCTACTGGCTGTAATAAACATCTTCATTACATTGTTTGCACTAAATCCTTCTTAGATGATGAGATTTTTAGTGAGCTCCGCATATTTTGAGCTTTCAGAATGAGCTGTTTTAGGCCCTCTTCTCACTTTACATCAAAAGAAGCTGCTGTAGCCACACCACTCAATGGGTTCACTCAAATGTGAAAATGGCTGCATATACGGATGCAAGATCGTATCACCTTTCATCTTTGAAAAGCAGAAGTGGAACCTCCTATGCAACCAACAAGAATGTAGCAACAAAACACTTTTCCAGCAGTAATTGTGCAACAGTAAAACGTGGTAACTAAAACATGTTGGAGCTCAACTGGGGTTGCTAGGTGACTGGCGCCGCGCTGCTGGGGTTGCTAGGCGACGGGGCTTTCCCTGGTGATTTGTGACGTTACATTCTGGAGGTTTTTGATACGGTTTCATTTCCCAGACACCAAAAAATGTGAACTGAGTGCCAAAAGACAGCTGGGTAGTGTTTTATTTTATGAGCTTGAAGTTTTTCGTTATTGCTTTTATAATTTATTTATAATAGTATAACTATTATAATAATAATAGTAGTAGTAGTAATTTATTCTTTATTTCACCTGCAAAATTCCCATTGAGACTAAAAATCTCTAATCCCTGGAAATCCTGGGTTTTTAGAAGTAGAAAAACATGCAAAATTAGAATTTTGCATCACAAGTCCCACTTATAGCTATATCTCTCTGTTGGTTGTTTCTACTTATTCTTCTCATATTTGACTGAATTGGAGTTGTGATCTCTTTAGGGCTGTGCGTTTATCGTTGTCACGATAAATTCCAACTAAATCTGTTTAAAACCTTCCAAAACTCTCCTTATCGTCAGGATTGATAGTTTTTCCTATTTTCTTCACTGTTTGTTCAGCAGAAACATAAAAATTGCTAATAAATTGAAAAATACAGTTACCGTGTGCGATTTAGTGATACAAAGAAATGTATTATAAATGGGAATGGTATAATTAGCGTAACACACAGGTCATACACTTACCTGAAAAAGAAGTAATAAATCGTTCTCATTGTCATTTTTATTGTTATCACAATAGCACTGTAAAATATTGTGATAAAACTTTTAAGTCCATATCGCTATGGCTCACCCTTGCTTATTGAAGACAGTCTGTTTTATTGTTTTAAAACAAAGGAGAAAAAAAAACTTGTGCAAAGGCAATTTAAGCTTCTCCCAGCTTTTTCTTTATGCACCGCAGGACTTTTATTGTGAAATAAACCCAAGCATTACAAAACGGAGGGGCAGAAAGTCAAAGTGAGTAGCCAAATATGGAGGGCTGTTCCAGCTGTAATATTCAAAGCCATCAATGAGATCATCAATATCATCCATCCATGCATCCACGAATTCATCCGTATCCAGCAGCTACCCATGTATCAATGCAATCCATCAAGTTCACCCATCTGAAACAGAGGAGGCAGGAATCGGGCTGCTGTTCTCCTGACGTGTAAACAGGCTTTGAAACGAGGGAGCCAATGCCAGGTTCACACCTTGACTCCAGAGCCGCATCCAGAGTCGAGGGCAGCCTGTGATCATGGTCTGTAAAAACTTACACGCCCACAGAGAGCTGGGAAATCAAAAACATCTTCTCCCCTAAACCCTAGTTTCCACTTTCCCCTTAAGGTTTTACGGCTCAAAGCTGCAACTTTGTGATCTTCAAAATAAATGCGTTTTATTGCTTTCCACATTTGCAGTTTATATCGTCGAAGGGAAAATGAAGACAGGAGACCAAGAAGAGCGTTTTAAGCTAGCGCTGATGTCACGCTTAGCCGGTCCATGAGCGTGTTCGCTGAAAGGCCAACACACGGAAACGGGCGAGTTGGAAGCTGAGCTGGAAGCGACGCTCATTTGCTTCTATAATCGCAGCTGCATGACCCTGAAGGTCAGACGCTCTTCGTCACTGTGAAGACGATAAGAGGACAAAGTGATCTTTAATGAGGGATTCCTGGTTGCGTGTTAATTACAAAACCATGCTGTGAAAGGGGATACAGGTGACTTTCAATAGGCGGTCCGCATTCAATGCAACTTGGCCCCCAAGATGTGATTCTATCTTTCACCTTATCCGCGTTTCCATGGCAAAGCAACATGGGGAGACCACCAGGTGATAGATTGGACGTGTTAAGGGCCGAACTATGTGGCTGCATTTTCCAGCCACATAGTTCCATTCTATAGCACAATAAAATAACTGTTGCCTTCAGTGGTTATAAAAATGCTACATATATCAAATATGACTTAAAAGAAGATTGATTTTGTAATTTAACACCTTGAAATTGGGCTTCTGTCTCTTTAAAAACCGCTGCTCTTTCTGAAACTCTGCCTTCAGGAAGTCATTACATCCCTCCTGTATTAACCCTTTAGCAACATTTTTACCAGCGCTACACTGAAAAGTAGCTCGTATAAAGAGCTCAGCTGATGCACAGCTCCACCAGGTGTTTGCTAATTTGCTGCTGGCTAGTCTGAAGGAGTTGGGGAGTCACAGAGGAGAGCTGGTCTGTGAGGAGAAAGCGTGGAAGCTGCATCTTGAAGATGGTGCTCGGTTAACCCAGGTGTTATGCACAGATGAATGGTTGCCGTGGAGATTAAAGGATTTCTCAAACATACATGCAAGAAAAGTGAATGCATATAGATCACATTAAAGCTGCAAGAAGAATTTTCGTTACATCTACATCCAAATCTGTTCACCAAAGAATTCTGCTTTCGGGATATATTCTTCCTGTTTTTATTTGATTTTAACTCATCGTGTTACTTTTTGAGCCCTTGGATGATTGAGGCGTTTCGCTATAACTGTATTATGACCTTTGACTCATTAAAACATTTATTTGCAGTCCTCCAAATGAACCGATTCCCTATATGGGGTGAATTTCACAGCTTCTAAAGACTGAAGTGTCTCCTCAGTTCCTACCTTTCGGTTCTGGCTCTCTCCCATCAGATGTGGCCGTTGTTGCTGGAGCCACCGGCAGCGTAAACTTCACTGAAAGACAAAAGAATCTTTTACATGCAATGCAATGGTTTGTGATCAGTGCAAAACAGGCAGTTTTTGTGTCCGAAGCAAAAAAGACACCATGAATATACCAACTGAAGGTAAATCTGGTATTTTTTTTTTAGAAAAATATGTAGATACACTGTTTGACAAATGAATGCTCTATTAATAAATACATTTGTTTAAACTGAAAAGAGCTTTATTCGCATGCAAAATGTTTGAAAACCACAATAATTAAAAAAATAGCACATTAGCATTAATTAATTATTTCTGCAGATTACGATAAACATGTTGCATTGTGGAGTCATCTTTACATCTTCACCAAAATTGAGTTTTAAATTAAAGGCCACAATGTACGTTTTGCGGCAAATTAGAGAAGTAATGACAATAATTTGATCATTATCAGTTTTTGAATTATTTTGTTGAACCGCGATTGTCCGAAAGCGTAAAACAGATTATGTACTGTTTTTATTCATTAAACAAAAACAAGAATAAAGGGGGAAAAACTGATTTAAAAGTTATGGAATAACTTCAAGATGGCTGCGCACCAGGGTGAGCATTTATCGTATCGTTTATCACTTATCGTGATACATTTCTTATCAAGATAAGAAATTTGATCCATTACTGTCACAATAATTACCAATCAGTGCCGTTTAAAACCTTTAACTCTCCTTATTGTCAGGATTGATAGTTTTACCATTTTCTCTACTGTTTGTTCAATAAAAGCATAAACAAATACGAATAAATTTGAAAATGTGTCCTAAAGAAGCATTTTACAAATGGGAATGTTTTTCCAAGCGCATTATTTGTGTTTGTGGGTCTATAATTAGTGTGACACACAGTCGTACAATTGCCTGAAAAAGGAAATATTAAACGGTTCTTTTCGTCACTTTTATCGTAACCACAATATTGCAGCAAAATATCGCGATAAAACATGAAGTCCATTTAGCTGTGCAAAACCTCAATGAACCAAAGCAATGTTGCAATAAAGACTGGAAGAAAATGCAATGTTGCAATAAAGACTGGAAGAAAATCCTTCACCAGTGACGCGAGAGACTAATAAAGCCAAACAGAGTAAAATTTACTCCAGCTAATTTGGCTAATGTTGGATCTGCAGACTATTGACAGATGGTGTTTACTTTGTTTTTCCGTTTTGGTTTTTACCTCTGCTTAATGACAGCATTGAATGCGGCGTCCTTGTAGATTCGCGCTCAGATTTCAATCTCGTAAAAGACTTTTTATAATGTCCTAAAACACAAAACCCTGGAACAGAAAGGTGTTCTTGTGTCGATGCAACCCAGCCGGCGTGGCTTTTTTTTGTTTTTTTAATATATTTATTTGTTGTTTTTTTTTGTTTTTTGCTGTCCTCACCTCGACACCGTCCCCGATGCGCCATCGTCAGCGTTTTGTCCCTGCATCGGGCCCTCTGCAGCTCACAGTTTGTCTCGTAGGTCCGCCCGTCCGAGCCGCACACCGGCTTCCCGAGCGTCCGCAGGCAGACGGACCCACAGTGGTTGTCTCTCTCTCCGATCAGCCACTGTTTTCCACAGAGAAAGCAACAAGGTTAGCACAGCGACGCTCTGCTTTCCGGCGTCTCCACGGTCTCGACTCCCGAGACTACTGCCTCGACTTGTCCCGCATTCCTTCAACACTTGTCAGCCGCTGCTTTTCTTTGTTTTGGCCACTACAAAAAGAAAAAAGGGATTTAAAGGAAAGTAAGAGAGATCAACCTTAAGGCTAATTTATCTTTTGGTTTGATGAGGACAGGTTCAACTTTGATGAGCCAAACTGACTGGTAGGAATCTCTACTTTCCCTCTCTCTGTACTTGTGATCTATCGATAGGAGGACAGCGTTCCCTCTGCCAGAACAAAAAGTTTAAACCCTCCAAGCAGTCACCAGATATTTCAAATCTAAAAGATTTTGGAAGAGTGAAAAACCTTGACAGGCAGACGCAAACGATGGTAGCAGCACATCAGCATTCCCCCAAAGAGTTGTGTTTTTGTTTCTTCACAAGGATTCAGACATTAATCTGTCACATCTTGCTTGGAAGCAATGTTGAAACAATCTCAAGTCCTTGTTTCATAATGCGCAATTAAAACAACAAGGTTTTTTGGGGCGGGGGAGTTTTCCCGTGGGAAAATGTTGCATTTGAAAACCTCTGTATGAATTTGCATGCGGCAGCGCTGGTTGGATCTGACAGTAGATCTTATAAAGGGCAGGTACTGAGGGAAGAAGGTGATGGAAAATAAGATGTCAAAGAGATGAAAGGCAGAAGAAGAAAAAAAAAGAAAAGGGTAACATTCTTATCTTATCAGATAATCTGAAGACACTTGCAAAAAAAAAAAAAGAAGAAGAAGAAGAAGAAAGAAACGATGTGCTATAGGAGCACATGTGAAGGTTCTGCCTCTGCTCTGGCTGTCAGACGGTCCCCCTGCTTCGGTGCCCGAGCTCCAAACAAACACAAGACGCTGTGTTTTGGAAAAACATCTGAAATTGTTGCTGGGAGACGGATTTTCTCTGAACATGTAAAAGAGATATCAGGCGGTGTAGATCGAAATGATGCCAAACCACAGATGTCACGAATGAGTTGGCGCACGACGGGGAATTCATACACAAGCGATTTCCAGCGAGTCTTCAGACGTGCTCTGGTCTGCGCTCCGAGTTCGCAGCAAGCGGTTCCTAAAGAGGATACGCTCTGTTCAGCCATCGCAGCTGAATTCTGTCTGTCTGCAGTTTCGCCCAATTTTGATGTATTCGATCCGTCAGATCATGAATTTGTGCGAAAACCATTACATCGCAGTTCAGCAGTATGAAAGTTACGAGCCGATTCAGTAGGAGCGCCATTCAGTCAGCATGGCAGTTTTAAGATAGAGTAGGTCTATGGGCTACACAAAATATGTACATTTTATAAATGTTTTTCACAGAATCATTCTTCAATGATGAGGTTTCAATCTACTCAGTTCTGCCTTTCAGAACGAGCTGTTTTAGGGTCTCCTGTGACTTTAAATCCACTTTGTAGCCACGCCCCCCAACTCAATTTTTACACTCGCACGTGAAAATGACTGCGCGATTACACAACTGTACATCTTTGAAAAGCAGACGCAGAGCCTCCTGCGCAGCCAACAAGATGGCAGCAAGTAGTTTCACAATAGTAAGTCCACAACAAAACCCTTGTCTTTTCCAGCAGCCATTGTACAGCAACATATTGGTGCTCAACTTGGGTTGCTGTGTGAGGGGCAGTTCCTGCTGATTTGTGACCTTTCATTCCAGAAGGTTTTTGAAACGGCTCATTTTACAGACACCAAGAAACATGAACTTATTGCCAAAAAATGCCTGAGTGTTTTTTTTTTTGTTTGTTTGTTTTTCTTTAGTGCTTGAACTGTTTTGTTTTAGAAGCGCTGAAAACTCAAATGGAAGTACAAAATTTTGCAAAATGTGAATTTTTCCAGGGGGAGGTGGTGGAGGAGGTGGAGGACTATAAATATTTGGGAGTGGTGATCGGCAACAGACTAGACTGGACATCCAATACTGATGCTGTGTACAAGAAGGGGATGAGCAGACTCTATTTCCTAAGGAAGCTTAGATCCTTTAATGTGTGCAGCAAGATGTTGGAGATGTTATACAACAGCATTGTTGCTGGTGCCATTTTCTTTGCTGTTGTGTGTTGGGGTAGCAGCATCAGAGCCAGCGACTCTAAAAGACTGAATGGGGTCATCAGGAAAGCTGGCTCTGTAATGGGTCTGCAATTGGAGACCCTGGAAAATGTGGTGGAGAGGAGAACGTTGAAGAAGCTGTTGTCTATTATGGCCAACAAGCTGCACCCTCTCCATCACACAGTTGACAGACAGCGGAGCACTTTCTCACACAGACTGCTTCAGCTCCGTTGTCGCAGGGACAGATACAGGAAATCTTTCCTGCCACAGGCTATCACTTTATATAACAAACGTTAAGTTACCTTTGTACATATCTGCTCATTAATCGATATTGTACAGATTGTTTACAAAGCACTATTGTACAGACTGTACAGATTATTAATTTTCACTGTTCATACTGTACAAAATCTTACATCTTACATATTATATTTTATGCATTTATCTTATTTTTTATTTTTCATATTGTAATTGATCTGTGTGTATGTGTATGCTGCAACTGCACAGTAATTTCCCGGTTGGGATGAATAAAGTACTTCTATCTATCAATCTATCTATTTTGCAGAATGCGCCCCTTTAATGTTTTACATACAGAGAACAGAACTGCAGTTCGTACACGCTGAGAAACGGAAGAGAAAAGATGTTTTACCATTTCATCTAACGTAAAAGAGCAACACCAAGTCAGATGGAAGGAAAATCATCCCATCAGGTCCATCAGCCCTGCTCCCGCCACCTTGTTCCACTTATTGCATTACGGCTTAATTGTGATCTGGAAGTGTCCATTTCAATCCCACGCAGCTTTTTGCATGTTCTGTTTGCCGTCGGTCCATGAAGACCAGATTCGGGTCAACAAATAGTCCTCACACCAACAAATTCCTCTTCTTCCCGTGTTACCGTTGGCTTCTCGACTGCTGCCCTTACCAGTCTCAGATTAAATCAGTCTCTGGTTCTCGCCTGCCTTGTAGGTTTTGTCAGATCAAGTTGCATACGGTGGACAGTGGAGCTGATGTGAGCCAAAGTTTTTAAAAATAAAAACAAAACATCTTTTTTAAAGTCCTGTGCACGCTGTGTTTGTCACAAAGAATACAAAATATTCTGATGATTGTTGCTATGATGCATCAAAATGGGGGAAAAAAAGTAGCTTAAAGGGCGGAAAACATTTTAGCAAAGGTATTTCTCGAGAGCTTTTGAGACATTTAAGCAGCAAAGCTTTTGAATTTGTAACTTAAAGGTTTCACACGTGGGAAACAGACTGCAGACAAGAAGCGAAGCCTGAGTTAACACACACGGCGGCATTGTTGAAGCATAAGCAGTACATGTTACTACAATGTCCCGTTATTGATAGAATGTTGTTTTTGTCTGGTAACAGAACCTGGACCTCTGGTTGATGACCTGCTGAGGAACCCAGAAACGTCCAAGAGGAACCAGCTGATGCTGAAGGACGGAGCTGAAATCAGACTAGAAACCAACTTCACCGTTTGTTTCTATCTGGAAACCGTAACAGCTGTTTTATGGTGCAGCAAAACGCCAGAATGTGGTAAGAAAACTGGGCAAACACCAGGACAGATCGTTTCTTTTGCAGGGGACTTTTTCGTTATTTTACATTTGTCAAACTGTTCCCGCCAGCAGCAAAAATTATGGCAACTATAAACACGAGTTTTTACATTTCTGTCCGAGTTGATCGGAAACACACCAAGTTTTCATAAGTGGTCAGTAATCCAGCTGAAGTATGCAGTCTTTATGACACCAAGTTCTCATTTTGCTTTTTTGTCACACTGGAAACTGACATGGATAAATGAAAAAAGCAGTTTTTAAAAAAATTATTTCATGTGTTACAATAAAAAAAAAACTATTAAAACCAACTTGACCCTTCATGTTGACATCACCTCTCACTTAAATCTTGAGTTAATTGTGATAAACCACATGAAAAATCCAATTATTAAACCAGTAACGGAGAACATACATCAGAAACTCTGTAAAATGTCATATGAGTAATTTTTCTAACGCAGAACAAAATTGAAAACTATTTTTAGATCTATAGTTTATTATAAAAACTACAAAATATACTGAGATGACTGTATCAACTACTTTCTACAATATTTACATGTACCTAGATTAGACTTTATGAAAAACAGCTTCTATTTAAAACAATAATGGCATTACATACCCAAATTATTTTTCAAAAAATGATATAAAATCCATATTCCATGAAAAAAAATGTACAAATGTTTACCAACACTTTTAACAATGCAGACACAAATGTAAAATATTTCTGAAAAGTTTATGATATGTTAAGAAATTACCTAAATAATGCCAGTCGTGTGTAGATGTAGAATTGCATCAAAATTTTACCATGTACATAAATCAATGTTTTTTTTTCCTCTGCAAAAATAAAATAACTGCCACTTTATACCATGATGAACCAAAGAGGTTAAAGTGTTAAAACTAAAAAAAACCATCTATAATTCATCAAAATAATTACCAAAAATATTCTCATCATTTCAAGACATGGAACAACATCGTTTTATCAGAGATTCAATAATTTTCAATAAATATTTAACTGTAATTATATCCCACATGGACCTCAGCTAACCTGATAAATTAATAGAAAATTCTTAATTCATAAAATAAAAAAAAATCAAAAATATTCTCATGTCTACATGGAATCATACGTAGAACCAAACCAAATTAATAAATTCAGAAATAATTCATAATTAATCAACAAACTAGCAAGATATATTCAGGTAGCCATGTCTACATGTGGAATCATATTTCAATGTTTCTAGGTTACAGTGCTCCAGTAAAAAAAAAAAAAAAAGTGAATTGCCATTTATATTATACAACACTGAGGCAAATGTTGTTGCCTCTATAATTCATAACAAAAAT